GGAACCACCTCTTAATTGCTGGTGTTCCCAGATTCACCCTGGGTGATAGCACCTGTTAGGGTCCCAGCTATGGGCAAATAGTTAACTCTGAAACTGAGGTAAAAAGTATTATAAAAGTGTAAAAATAGGTTTTAATACCAGAAATACTTTGTAAAACATTATTACCAGAAATAAATTTTTGAAGAAAAAAAAAATATTACCAGCAATACGTTTTTGAAAAAAAACTATTACCAAGAATAATTTTTTGAAAAAATAATATTACTAGCTATACGTTTTTGAAAAAACAATATTACTAGCTATATGTTTTTGAAAAAGATAATATTACCAGCTATATGTTTTTGAGGAAAAAAATATTAACAGAAATAGATTTTTGACAAAAATATTACCAGGAAAAAAATGTCAGCATTAAATGACCAATTGAGGTTGATATGCTCTAAAACAAAACAAACAAACATAATAGAAGAAATTAAATTCATGGATACGTGATAAAGTCAACAACAATCTCTTTGGCATGGTGTTTATTTGGTATGTTTATTATCTTTCAAATGATTTTCTTTGAGGCATGATTATTTTGTTTCTGAAAACAAAAATTAATGGTGCAATGTTTATTTGAATTGACACATAAGTTGAAAAATTTCCATTGTCATGTCTATTTCAGATGCCACATATATTCCTTAAGTTCTCTTAAAAACTGTTTCTTATTGTTTAAAGGAAAATGATGTCTGAATACTTTGTCTTTGAAATGCATTTCAAGTACTTTCATTAAAAAAATGTTTGCTTAAGTTTTATAAAGAAAATACCTGAATAATTTGTGTCTTAGCCTCCAAAAAACATTTTGAATATTTCTTTTAAAAAATTGTTTGTTCCTTATTGTTTAAAGGAAAATGTTTGAATACTTTGTCTTTGAAATGCATTTCAAGTACTTTCATTAAAAAATGATGTTTCCCTAAGTTTCAAAAAGAAAATGTCTGAATACGTTGTCTTAGCTTCTAAAACACGTTTTGAAAAATTTTGTTAAAAATGGACTGACATTAGGCATGAATGGGAAACAAGGAAAAAAATATGAAGATGAAATCAAAAATATAAATTTAAATGCTATTTTTTTTTCAATTCAATTTTAAAATTTTTGCTTTATGTTATTAGTGTTATGACACAGGTCTTTCCCTTTTGGTGCAACATAATCTTCCTTATGAATGACCCCAACTGAGATAGATCAAATTAAACTTAATTTAATCTTGCTCTTTCATATAATTTTTTGTTGTCTATTTTCAGGTTTGCGATGTTCACAGTCTGTGAATTATTTAAACAGTATCATGTGAAGAGTATTCTGGTGCTAATCAGAGATAATTGCCATTGGCCGTTCTCTAAGAACTTTGGTATTGAATTAGAATGGGGTGATACAGACCTTCCTGACTGGGGAATTGTGAATATGTTCAGGTAAATCTGTTAGCAGTTATATATAAAGTTTCATGTGACAACTGGAAACATATGCAAATATATTCACACACACACACACACACACAGAATTCGTGTTAATTGGGACATGATGAGAATAGAAGAATTTGGCCCAATTAAGTGGCTAACTTGATTATGTACATTAACATATAAAGAATTTAAGAAGATATCCTGTTTCTTCTTTTGGAGAAGAGTCCTTAAGATTCTGAATTTTGTTTGGACAATTAAACTATTTCCTTATATAGTTAATATTCACCATATAACATTTTGGAATAGACACACCATTTATTTATTAAACAGCATATTTATTTATTTTCATCTAATGGTCTGAATATTTGAGAAATTTCATTAAAGAAAAATATCTGTTCCTATCTATCTATCTATCTATCTATCTATCACAGTCTGTTCCTTTCTATCTATCACAGTCTGTTTCTATTTATCATAGTGTTGTGGTGTCCTCCCTCTAAAGAGTCTATTTTAGACTCTTCCGCCTACTATAAGATTAGTAAGAGAGAAGGCCTTGGGAGAACAGTTGAATAGATTGAATGCTGGGTCAACTGACACACACCCACTAGTCATGTTATACTCTTCTGTTGTATTTACTGTTAATATATGATATATCAACAACATTGTAGAACAGAAGAGTATAACATGACTAGTAGTGTGGAGACCCAGCATTCAATCTATTCAACTTTTCTTCCAAGTCCTTTTCTTACTATCTTATAGTAGGCCTGAAGAGTTTATCATAGACTGTTTCCTGTCTATCTATCATCTCACATTCTGTATCTATCTATCTATCTATCTATCTATCTATCTATCTATCACAGTCTGTATCTATCTATCTATCTATCTATCTATCACAGTCTGTATCTATCTATCTATCTATCTATCTATCTATATCTATCTATCATTCATCTGTATCTATCTATCACAGTCTGTATCTATCTATCTATCTATCTATCTATCTGTATCTATCTATCTATCTATCACAGTCTGTATCTATCTATCTATCTATCTATCTATCAGTCTGTTCCTATCTATCTAGCTAGCATAGTCTGTTTCTATCTATATCTACCTCAGTTTGTTCATATATATCTGTTTGTATTTATTTATTATAGTTTGTTCTTATGTAGCAATATAAATATGTACACTGAATATCTGAACCGTGTAATAAAGAATTAAGAAATGTTACTGACAGAATATGGCTATTCTATGTTTAATAGGTAAACATTTACCACAGAAAATAACTGAAAATCAAAAAGTAAGTGACCCCTAATCATCAGAAGATAAGCACAGTGTTAGTGACAGAATAGAGTTATTATAGTTATAAACATTTACAAGAGAAATGAATTGCTAATATTTTTACTATAGAAATAAATACATATTACTCAATTAATATTTTTTTTAATCATTTCACCCCAAGCAAGGTGAGAGTGCCACTAGTACACAAGGATTGACAGAGAGTGAAAGTGAGAAAAAAAACTGTGTGTAGGAGGGATTGAAGAAAGGATAAAAAAATGAACAGAGTTCAAGATAATAGAAAATGGTGATTGACATTGCATTTAAATTTTTGAAGATTATAGTTATCAGGGAAGCAAATAAGTGGAAGTGAGTTCCACTGTTGAGAAGTGTGAGAAAAGAAACTTTTGAAGTAGAAATGTAAAAGGGTGGGACCTAGATGCTAGTCTAGTAGCAGAAAAAAAAAACTTGTTGGAGCAGTTGCCATGAAAATATTTGTAGAAAAGACAGAGGGAAGCTACATTACATCTGTGAGAAAGTGACTGAAATCGAGCTGCCAGGTCAGGATCGATTACATAGCAGATCCTTCTTTGCATTTTGTCAAAATTTTTTGAGTGTGGTTGATATACAAATATTAATGGAAGGAAATAATATTTTTTCTTTTCTTTCCAGTCGTGAAGGATTACTACTAAAAACCCTGATGTTTTCTGGGAACCTGGTCTCCTTAAAGGCGCTGAATCAGACAGATTCGTCTCTTTGTGTTTCAAGATTCTCCACTAACAACTTACACATCCCGGCATCAGTGATTATTGTGCCCATGTTGATTACACCACTAGTGGACCCCGAACTTAGCAATTGGCTTAACAATTTTCACCGTTTACCTTTGACTCTTCTCGCATCTGCTCGTATCGCCATCAGGAGGTGTTTTGGATCCCAGATTTTAAAAAAGACGCGGCAGCTCTCCATACCTAAAATGTTGAAGGACTATATCACGCTCAAAGATCTCTGAGGTTCTCTAAGAAAAGAGATGTTCCGTCTGCTTTCCCAAAACCATTTAATGGTTATGTGAATGAAAGTAAAAAACATGAGAAAACTTGTTAAAGCAAGAACTTGTGGAATGAAAGATTTTTTTTTTTTTTTTTTTTTTTTGGACAATTCCCAAAATATGAAAAGAAGATTTTTTTTTTCAAAGAAAATGAATTCAATTATTTATTGATTCACCATTAATTTTAATTATGGATTAGTAGCTAAATATTTTGCTGCTTAAAAAAAAAATCCATTTCTTTAATTTGAGAAAAAAAAATAACTACCTCTATCCCATAATAGTTGTTACATTTAGAGCATAAGAAATATTTGTCAATGCAACAATTATTATGAGATAGAAGTACAAATAAGATATATCTATTATATTGTTACTGTTTATAAATGAATAATTTTTAAGTTTATAAAATTTTTACCCTTCTACAAAATAATGTCTTAATTTAATTTCTTTTTTTAAAATTAATATTTTTAATGACACATATTGAAACTTGCAAATTGTTTTGTTTAAATTTATTGACGTTTATTCAAAAACAGCAGTACGAAATTTAAAATAAGCAAGTTGCTTCTGCCAAGATTCAAAAGAGGCCCAAATAAAATGGATGGTGGATTTTATGAGATATCAACATTTGTTGGGTTAATTAAAACCTTTAGCATTCTGTAGGTAACTATTTTAACCAAGCAAAAGTTTAGTCCTGCCAATGCAAGTTGAATTTTAATTTATTGGTTGTGTAGACATATCCTTCTGTGGCAACACCTAAAACAATCTTGGCTAAAATTGTGATCCAGGCTACTGCAATTTCAAAAATATAGAACTAAAATATATAAAACACTATATTTTGAGAAAATTCCACATACATAAACAGGGGAAGTAATATTTATAAATGGTGCAGTGTTAATGGCATTCTTTGTTGGGTTTATACTTGAGTCTCTAGGTAAACATTGGGTGAGTTTATACTTGAGTCTATAACATTGGTCAGGTTTATTCAATCACTCTTTAACTATGCAATTAATCTCTCTCACTATATATATATATATATATATATATATATATTAAATGGTTAACATTCTTTTTATGCTCTGTTTTATAATAAACAGTATTAAATAACATTTACCAGCTTGAATGTCCGAGAAATTTTCATAGAAAATATTCATCCTTTGACAGGATTCGAACCTGCATTCTATACGGAACTGTCATTTACGCTGGCGTGCCTTAACCGACTCGGCCACAGAGCGTTCGGTAGGCAAGGTCGAATTTACTGCTTATAAATTTCAATCTTCCATGAATCTCGTACATTCATAACTGCTCATGGCGTATCAAATGTAAACAAATGACGTCATACATTAAGAATTGGACAAAGTCCGACAATTTATTAAAGACATTTTTATGTTTTAACATTCTTTTTATAGATACAAGTATTTAAGTAAATGCTCTGTTTATAATAAACGGTATCAAATAACATTTACCGGCCTGAATGTCCGAGAAATTTTCATACAAATATTCGTCCTTTGTGGCCGAGTCGGTTAAGGCACGTCAGCGTAAATGACGGTTCCGTATAGGATGGGGTTCGAATCCTGTCAAATATATATATATATATATATATATGTGTGTGTGTGTGTTATCTTCCCACCATAAATATGGAATCGGCTATTGCTCAACACTTAGTTGAGAATATAGCCTGTGCCAAGTCGTATACAAAAGAGTGGTTTAAAATCATTCATACGGCTGGTTCCAACAATCATTTGAAGATTTTGGAATCAGTCTGTATAGGATTAAGGAAACCTTCTCTCTGCCGGCAGAAAGAATTTGTAAAGTCCCTTAATCTGTTGAGGGATATTTTTTTTTAACTGTCCCTCGCTAATTTATTTACACGTTATTTCCCCTCCCCTCGTTACAAGTATATACACTTTTTTGTTATTTTAGCGTGTTTCCCCCTTTTTTTGCTCTTTATTTTCGTTATTGTTCTTTTCGTTAATTAATTATCCAACGATTGTCTCCTGATGAGATGTTGGTTGAAAGGGCCTTTAAGACTAATAAAATTAAAATCAATAAATTCCTAGTTTTTAAAACTGTATATAAATTTTTTTTACGTCTAAACATTTGTATGTATATATATATATATATATATGTATGTATGGTGTATCAAAAATAATTTTACAAAGTTTCGTTCCTGACACTAAACAAGGTAAACTGTCCATATAGATATATATCCAAAATGCCATCGTTGTACCTAAACACAGCAACTCATAACAAATGTTCAAAATGTCCTCTGCTTGCTTCTGTACACACATGCGCCTGTCAGATCATTGACTGGCAGACCCTTTCAAATATTTCCAAACAGTGTCAAATGGTTTTGCAGGCCCTCATGACATATTGATGAAGTGTCTCTGGATTTTTAATGTCTGCTGGATAAACCAATTGCTTTAATATATACCGGGTGTAACAGCAAAATTGTCCAAATCGTGTAACAGCATAATTGTTCATCCCACAAAAAAAGTTTAATATCTAAAAATCCTCTAAAATGTTTCTTTTTCCAGGTTTTCAGATAAGAGGTTTAGCCATCTTGACATCATATGTCATAATAATCACTGAAAAACACATTTGATTTATTCATCTTGAAAGAGAATAGGTTAAAATCGTTTTGTGTCAGCCTTACTGTCTTTCCAAATGAGTAATGATGAAAGGAAAAAGATCAGTAATCGTATCAACACTCATACTCTGGCTCCCATCTTCAAAATCCATTCAAGAACCATCAAGAGAACGGTGAATGTTTTAAAAAGAGGGAACAGTAGAAAGGAAATATGGAGCAGGAGGTCACAACAGGAAGTGAGATCATCATTTCAACTTAGAACTAAAGAGATCAATGAGAAAAGATACAACTCAATCCATAATACGTTTGGCACGTGAGAGAGGAGTTTCAGATATGACAATCCAAAAAAAGACGTGAAACTTGTGAGGCACATTGTTACTCCAGGACAGAAGTTAGAAGGTTAGAGAGGGCAAAAATAATCTTGAATAAGTTGTAAAATAATCTTGGAATAATATATATATATATATATTAACTTCAATTTCAATCCTTCATGAGCTTCTGATCCTTAGCTATGATTAATTACTGATGAACATGTCATTTTCGTTTATGATCGATTTCATCATGATTCTTCTTTTAAGCTTGGAGAGTAATTATACATTCTTATTGCTCAAAGTAGAGTTCAATAGTGTTATAATAACCTCGGAGAATTCCAGTAAGATATCTTTAATCATTTCTAAGATGCAACGGTTCAAAGCTTAATCTAACAATTGGAAAATTTTTGTTGTTACGCGATTTGGACAATTTTGGTGTTACACTCGGTATATTTGCATGCACATTAACTGAGAACAAAGGTATTAAGTCGTTCTAAATTATGTTCACCATTATTTCCATAAATACAACCTTTAACAAGTCCTTAGTATTGTGGGTCTGCTCTCAACGACGTCCCACGCGTAGTAGTATAGCTATTCGAATTCAGTTCACATGTTATTGGTGATGATCATGAAAATTCTCAGTTGGCGTGGGTACTTGTGAGAGAGTAGCCACTTGGTACAGGTCTTGATGTGAGTAGGCATTGACAAATTTCTTCGATTAAGCATTGTCAATGTGCATTCTCACATCTTATTTTATGATAACAAATTTTCTAGATGAATCATTGACAACTCTTAATTTGAATCTGATCATAGACTTCTTGTGACAAAACTTATAATATCAGCCGACAAAATAGCCCATCTCCGCT